TGGTGGCCTGGGCCACCTTGATGGCCTTACCATCCAGGGACTTGCCGTTCATGTCGCGGGCGGCGGCCTTGGCGTCCGCGGGGTTCTCGAAGGTGACGAACGCGAAGCCTCTGGACTTGGAGGTTTCCCGGTCCTTCATCAGGAGCACCTCGATGATGCGGCCATACTTGCCGAAGGCGGCCTCGAGGGCCTTCTCGTCGGTTTCGAGGTTGAGACCCCCGATGAAGAGCTTCCCCGGACGGTCGGCCTCGACCATGGTGGCGGCGTCGGGGACGGCGGCGGCGGCGGCGAGCCGAGGGCGGCGGCTCCGGGCTGCCCTGCTGGTCGAGGCCGCCTCCTACTGGCCGGGGGCGCTGTGCGCAGGCGGGAGGGCGGAAGGCCGGGCCGGGCGGCCCCGGAGCCTCGGCCGCTCCCGCCTGTGATTGGTCGGCGGGGCCGCCCCGCCGGCGGGCGGGCGTCGCGGGGGTTGCGGAAACGGGCTGGGGCCGCGGTGGCCTCCTCGGTCTCTGTGGGCTGCGGGAGTGGGGCTCCCACCCAGAAGCGCGGCTGACCTAAAAAGCCGTTAGGGGAAGTGAAATAAAGTTCCATTGCTCTTAAAGAGGAAAATTCTAAGGCATTCCAAACCTAGTTACCCAAAGGATTTGAAAACAAACAAAAACCCCTGGAAGATGCACTTAGTGGTAGTTTGTAATGAGGTGAGAGGGTCCTGCTTCCCCCTTTTTTTCTTTCCGTTTTGTTTTTGTTTTTGCCTGGAGGGAAGAAGGTTTTGATAGGTGAAACGACAGTGAGGAGTCATTATATGGATTCATCCTTTTCTTTTTTGACACAGTCTGCTCCTCTGTTTTGTTTACCTTAGTCTATTTGGCCCCATACACTGAAATGTTTTTCACCTTTCTTCCTGCCAGTTTGTAAGATACTTTCTAGTAACCGAGATTATCTTATCTATTTTTCCTCCATTTTTCTTCTTTTATAGAATGATTTTTCTTATTTTTTTCTCGGCTGTGGAAGATGATACGCTTTCTTTTCTTATTCTATTTTCTCTTAATGGTTTCTAAGTTAAAATTTTACTTACCCAGTATTTAGTTCGTTGCTTAATCTTTCAGTGTGTGTGCATGTGTGTGTCTATGTGTGTGTGTGCACCCATGTAACCGTGGCCCACACATCAAGATGCCTAACATTCCCCTCACTGGAGCTCTCCCTGTGTACTTCTGTCAGAACACTTGCCTTCCTTCCTCACAGTTTTTCATCTAACACAAATGAGGTTTCCCTGTTCTTAAACTGAATATAAGTGTAATTCCATAATTATAGTGAACGCTTGTGTTTTTGCTGATGTCATTCAGCATATCTTTGTTATTCATCTGTGTGTCTAGTCTAAATAATTCTTATATAGGTTTTTCACAGCCTTCCTCCTCTCTTTGTTGACCATTGAAACACTCATTACTTTGGAGACTGTGTCCTCCCTAATCCAAGCAGTTAGGAAACCTGACCCCAAAATGCATTTGGATTCCATCTAGTTTCCTCGTTTTTCACCGTTAACACAATCTACAAGCTGTCACATTTCTAGCAATGGACACACAACAGTCTTTGTCAAGGCTTCTTGGTATAGGGCTCCTAAAACACTTAGCATTTCTGGGAAAGAATGATTTTTCTTTTTTTAATTATATTTTTATTTTTTATATTAATTACAGTTTATTCACTTTGTATCCCAGCTGTAGACCCCTCCTCTCCCCTCCCAATCCCACCCTCTCTCCCTCATCTCCTTCTATGCCTCTTTCCAAGTCCACGGATAGGGGAGATCCTCTTCCCCTTCCATCTGACCCTAGCTTATCAACTCTCATCAGAACTGGCTGGATTGTCCTCCACTTTGGCCTGGCAAGGCTGCTTCCCCATTCGGGGAAGGCAGTCACTGAGCTAGCCACTGAGTTCATGTCAGAGACACTCCCTGTTCCCATTACTAGGAACCCACTTGGATAATGAACTGCCATGGACTACATCTGAGCAAGGGTTCTAGGTTATCTCCATGAATGGTCCTTGGTTGGAGTATCCAGAAAAGACCCCTGTGCCTGGATATTTTAGTTCTTTTGCTCTCCTTGTGGATTGCCTGTCCTCTCCAGGTCTTCCCCCTTCTTTCCTAATATTCTCTGCACTCTGCCAAAAGTTTGTTTATTTGAATCTCAATATCTGCTTTGATACAATTCTAGGTAGAGGCTTTCAGAGACCCTCTGTGGTAGGTTCCTGTTCTATTGTCCTGTTTTCTCCTTTCAATGTCTGTTCCCTTTGCCTTTCTGAGTGAGGATTGATCATCTTACCCAGGGTCCTCCTCCTAGCTCACCTTCTTTAGGTGTCCAGATTTTTGTAGGTTTATTCTATATTATATGTATAGTATCCACTTACAAGTGAGTATATACCATGTGTGTCTTTCTGTTTCTAGGATACCTCACTCAGGATGATCTTTTCTAGTTCCCACCATTTGCCTGAAAATTTCATGATTTCCTTGTTTTTAATTGCTGAGTAGTATTCCATTGTGTAAATGCACTGTAGTTTCTGTATCCATTCCTCCCTTGAGGGACATCTGGGTTGTTTCCAGATTCTGGCTATTACAAATAAAGCTGCTATGAACATGGTTGAGCAAATGTCCTTGTTTTATACTTTAGCATCTTTTGGATATATGCTTAGGAGAGGTATAGCTTGAGGTACTACTATTCCTAATTGTCTGAGAAAACAGCAGATTGAGTTCCAAAGTGGTTGTACAAGTTTATTTTCCCACCAGCAATGGAGGAGGGTTCCCCTTTCTCCACATCCTCTCCAGCATGTATTGTTGCTTGAGTCTTTGATCTTAGCCATTTTGATGGGTGTAAAATGGAATCTCAGAGTCGTTTTGCTTTGCATTTCCCTGATGACCAAGGACATTGAACATTGCTTTAAGTGTTTTGGCCATTTGATATTCCTCTATTTAGAATTCTCTGTTTAGCTCTTTACCCCATTTTTTAATTGGATTACTTGATTAGTTGCTTTTTAACTTCTTGAGTTCTTTATATATTGCAGCCCTCTGTCAGATATAGAGTTGGTAAAGATCCTTTCACCATCTGTAGGCTGTTGTTTTGTTCTGATGACAGTGTCCTTTGCTTTACAGAAGCTTTTCAGTTTCATGAGGTCCCATTTATTGATTGTTGCTCTTAGAGCCTGTGCTGTTGGTGTTCTGTTCGGGAAGTTGTTACCGATGCCAACGAGTTCTAGGCTCTTCCCCACTTTTTCTTCTGACCGATTTAGTGTGTCTGGTTTTATGTTGAGTTCTTTGATCCACTTGGACTTTAGTTTTGTGCAGGTTGTTAAATAGGGATCTATTTGCATTTTTCTGCATGTGGACATCCAGTTAGACCAGCACCATTTGTTGAAGTGCTGTCTTTTTTCCATTGTATGGTTTTGGCTTCTTTGTCAAAAATCAAGTATCCATAGGTGTGTGGATTTATTTCTGGGTCTTCTATTCAGTTTCATCGATTCACCATTCTGTTTCTATGCCAGTACCATGCAGTTTTTATTACTATTGCTCTGTAGTACAGCTTGAGATCAGGGATGGAGATACCTCCAGATGATCTGTTATTGTATAGGATTGTTTTGGAAATTCTGGGTTTTTTATTTTTCCATATGAAGTTGAGAATTTTTCTTTCAAGTTCTGTAAAGAATTGTGTTGGTATTTTGATGGGTTTGCATTGAATCTGTAGATTGCTTTTGGCAGGATGGCCATTTTCACTATGTTATTCGCCGATCCATGAGCACAGGAGATCTTTCCATCTTCTGATATCTTCTTCAATTTCTTTCTTCAGAAACTTGAAGTTTTTTTCAAATAGGTCTTTCACTTGCTTGGTTAGAGTCACACCAAGGTACTTTATGTTATTAGTGGCTATTGTGAAGGGTGTTGTTTCCCTAATTTCTTTCTTGGCCTTTTTGTCTTTGTTATACAGGAGGGCTTCTGATTTTTTTTTTTTGAGTTAATTTTGTATCCAGCCACTTTGCCAAAGGTGTTTATCAGCTGAAGGAGTTCTCTGGAAGAACTTTTGGGGTGGCTCATGTATACTATCATATCATCTGCAAATAGTGATACTTTGACTTCTTCCTTTCCCATTTTGTATCCCCTTGATTTCCTTTAGTTGTCTTATTGCTCTAGCTAGGACTTCAAGAACTATGTTGAAGAGATATGGAGAGAGTGGGCAGCCTTGCTTGTCCCTGATTTCAGTGGGATTGATTTAAGTTTCTCTCCATTTAGTTTGATGTTGGCTATAGGCTTGCTGTATATTGTCTTTACTATGTTTAGGTATGTGCCTTGTATCCCTAATCTCTCCAAGACTTTAAACATGAATGGGTATTGGATTTTGTCAAATGCTTTTTCGGCATCTAAGGAAATGATCATGTAGTTTTTTTCTCCTTCAGTTTGTTTATATGATGAATTACATTGATGGATTTTCACAATTGATCCACCTCTGTATGCCTAGGATGAAGCCTACTTGATCATGGTGGATGATATCTTTTATATGTTTTTGCATTTGGTTTGCCAGTATTTTATTGAGTATTTTTGCATCAATGTTTGTAAGAGAGATAGGACCGAAGTTCTCTTTTTTTAATTGTGTCTTTGTGTGGTTTGGGTATCAAGGTGACTGTGCCTTCATAGAATGGGTTTGGTAATGTTCCTTCTGTTTATACTTTGTGGAATAATTTGAAGAGAATTGGAGCTAGCACGTCTTTGAAGGTATGGTAGAATTCTGTACTGGGTATACCTGGACCTGAGCTTTTTTTGGAAGCAAAAGTTTTGATGACTGGTTCTATTTCCTTGGGGAATATAGGACTATTCAATATTTCTACTTGATCTTGATTTAATTTTGGAAATGGAATCTATCCAGAAAATTGTCCATTTCCTTTAGATTTTCAAATTTTGTGTCCTATAGGCTTTTGTAGTAAGAACTAATGATTGTTTGGATTTTTTCAGTGTCTGTTGTTATGTCCCTCTTTTCATTTATGATTTTTTTTTATGTTAAAGTGTGTTTACTTTAGTATGCATTGGCTTGACAAACTCAGGGACAGCCATAAGCACAAAAATATTTTAAAAAGACATTGTGGTTTTATAATGAAAAAGCAATTCAGTAGTTCTACTTGATAATATGAATTTATGGTATCTAAAGATTTTATTTTTATAAGAACTGTAGAGAAAACCCAGCTTGTACATCACAAATTTACTCCATGTTTCTTACAATCAGGAGCCCT